TAAATTAGCCGAACTATTAAACAAAACATTCAAAATAATGAAACTCTTGAAAAATTATTAAAAAATATTTTTAAATCTTTAATAAAAAAAACTTATTAAATCAAAAATACAGAAAATAAAAAAAAGAGTAAATGGAACCGACCGGCTCTAAACAGACCCCCACAGCCATCGCACCTGGCAGCGAAATTGTTATCGTGACAATCGGCACAGTAGAGACGATCGTTCTTACTAGCGAAGGGATGGTCCACCAGCGACATCTGGCAGTCGCAGCACTTGAAGCACCTCTCGTGCCAGTGGCGATCCTTGTAGGAGAGATCCTGAAAAATTGCGAGGAGAGGGGAATGGTTGAGAGAGAGAGTGATCAAAAGAGGGAAAGTGATCAAGAGAGAAAGAGAGAGAAAGAGAGAGAAAAAATGAAAATGTTTTCTTGAAAAGTTTTGTGTGGTGTGGCCTGTGTGGCGTGTATGTATGTCGTGTGGTGTGGTATGTGCGGCATGTATGAACAACAAAATTAGCGGAAACAACATTCACAACAACAACATTTTTATATTATTTAATTCAATTCAAATCGGAATTGCCAACTTCAGCAACAACATCAACAACGCCAACAAATAATCAGCAACAACATCAACAACATCATCAACAACACAATCAACAAAACATCAACATCAACAGCATCAACATCTGCAACAACAATAACAATATCAACAACAACAAAATCAACAACAACAACAACCTTAGAGTCAGTGCCAATGGGAGCCTTGCAGTCCTCGCACGTGTTGGCAAACAACGATTCGTAACATTTTATGCAAAATGGTTTCTCCTCTCTCAAGATGTATCTATGAAATTTTTTATTGGATTTTTTATTCATTCGTTTATTTATTCAATTAATTGTTCAATTGTCGTTTGTTATACATTCATTCATTCATTCGTTCTGTCATTCATTCATTCATTGTGTCATTCATTCGTCATGAGTTGTATGTTTGTTTATTTGTTTGTTTGTTTGTTCTTTCGTTTTTTAGTTTGTTCATTTGTTCATTCATTCTTTCTTTCTTTCATTCATTCATTCATTCATTCATTTAATTCCTTATTCATAATTTGTTGTAATAGACAACTTTCAGCGCTAAAAACTTTTATTCAAACTGCTGTAAACTTTGAACGCTCGTAATCGATGCTCTAACTTTAAAGATCTCTACATTTCCAACCTCAATGTTGTAATTTCGTCAAGTGTTCGTTATTCCGTAGGTTCAACAACACAGCCGCTTCAAATGCAAGCTTTGTCGAACCTTTATCCGAATACCAACAGTAATAGAAACACTAAACTAATCCAAGTAGCTACATAATTTTTTTAACAAGTTTATCTCGTGTAACAATCACATTCACAACTCTGCCTCCAACCTCGCCACTCCTAACTCTGCAGATGTTTTGTTACAATCCTCTCTGGTGTTAAAAGATTCTATGAGCTAGAATATCGATAGCGAGAAGAATAAATATAATAATTAATAATATAGCAATAATTAATTATATAGCTTAATTCCGCCATTCCTCTAAATATAAAAATGTTTTTGTAATTCTATTTAGACTGTTTGCCCTGATGTCAAGCAAACACGTTCAATAAAGGTATATATGTGTTACTTTAATGATAGATAGCAGAGAACTTTTTCTACCCGGCCGTGTTAAACTATCAGTAGCATCATTACACGATGAGTCTGACGCATTGGTTAACGTGTATTTTTAAATGCATACGCTGTGTGTTTGTCGTTGGTTTATGTCATTAAGTGATACTGAAATGAGATTTGTAAAAATGGAAAATAACGTCTAAATAACACAATTACACAAAGCAGATGGTGAAAACACACACACACATACATACACACAATGTACTCACATTCACGTATATACCCACACATATACCCACTCTCTCTCTTTCTCTCTCTCTCTCTCTCACACACACACACACACATACACACACATGTATACACCAGCTACACAAACAAACGAACGATCAAACAAACAAACTGGCGAACAAACAAACTAAAGAACCAACAAACAAACACAACTTTTACAAACCCTCTCTCTATCACACACATAAATACCCTCATAAACGATGACGAAACTTTTGTACTGACCTGTATCCAACTAGGTTCAGGTTGCAGTTGAAGCAGGAAAATGTCACTGACGGATCGTGCTCCATGGTTGGCTGGGTGTTCTAAATTTTTGGACGTGAGTGCGTTTCTATTACTACTATTAGGTTAAAAGGTTAAAGGTTACTCTCTCTCTTTCTCTCTCTCTCTCTTTCTCTCTCTCTCTCTTTCGCTTCCTTCAGAGGTTTCAACGACACACACAGCGTATATGAATACGCGTGCAAACCACGCATCATACACATTGCATATGATAGGCAAGGATCTCTTTGTATTTGAACCCAGTCATAGCAATTGCAAGACCAGGCTCTCTCATTCTCTCACACACAAACACACACGCACACACACACACATAGATACTCTCACACACACACACGCACAACTTTCAAAACGTAATTCAACACCAGTTATACTGAAACAAATGAACTTTCCCTCCACCTTATCTCCAAAAGTTATCCAACAAAAGCCTCTTGCAACAACAAAATACGCCCTCTAGCACTAAAAAATCTGCCAAAGTTTATTAAAATTTAAACAATGAAACTAAACGAAATATATTATTTTTTTTATTTGTTATTATTATTATTAATTATTTTATTTATATTCTATATATTTATAGAGCAATATTAAATAAAACTGAAGCAAGAAATAAGAACGACTACTGCCACAATAAATACTACTACTGCTACTACTACTACTGCTACTACTACTACTACTACTACTACTACTACTACTACTACTACTACTACTACTGCTACTACTACTACTACTCTTAATAGTATTATTTATATTATTAATATTATTATTATTTCTACTACTACTGCTATTACTACAAAACGCAATGCAGGTACTTCTAGCACTATTATTATTAACAATTATCTTATTAATATCATTATTTATTATTAATATTTATAAATAATTATGATTAATTATGCAAATTAATAATAATAAAAATGTATTTAAAAAATAGCCGACATACTCCGCACTGAAAACGAGAAGATGATAGCAGCTTCCCTTCCACTTCTGATTCCAACTTTGAAATCTCTCACTTTCTCTCTCTCTCTCTCTTTCTCTAACTCTCTCTCACTATCCCACCCTCTCTTTCTTACACTCGCTCGTTGATGTATTTCACTCTTTTTTATCTTCGTCCTTCTTTATATCTTTTGCTCGTTCTTTCTTACTTTTCTTGTTTCTCTAAGTTTTCTTCCATTTATTCTCTTCTCTCTCTCCTTCTATTTCGCATTTTTT